GTTTGATAATGAGGTATACGTACACACGCGCGCACATATATATATGCATACACCCGCCCGAACAAAGAGGAGGCGCAGCAGAGAGAGAGTAACGAACATGTCGCATAATTCGGGAAACGTGCGCTGCTAGATTCGGCATTGCTCAAACGCCTACAACGTATATATCAGTCCCTCGTAGTAGAAATTATACATGCAAGCAACTGAATCCGTTAACTGTGTCGAGATGCGCGGAAAAAAATTAATTTTTTCTTTTTTTTTTTCTTTTTCATTCTTCACGCGTAGATGCACTCGACGCTCGGTCCAGTTGTACGCAAAGTCTAGTTGTTTTTTTAATTCGAAAGAGTGCTGCGCGCAGAGAGGTGATGGTAAAAAAAATGTTTTTTATTGCATTGTGTACTCACTGAATCGACATTGATAAACGCCCCAGTTCGACTTAAATGTATAGGCCCGAGGGAGTATGGGAGAGCTGCAGAGAGAAAGAGAGAGAGAGAGAGAAACAGAAAACGTCCGCGACGATAATACTAGGAGTATAAATCAATGAACGAACGAGAGACAGGATTGCGTTATCGAATTTGTGGTCCGAGGGAGAGAGAAACAGAGAGAGAGGGAGGGAGATACAAGAGGGAACAACAAACTCGCGCGTCTATATATTCTTTTTAAGATCGTTGACGCATCGGATCGTCTATCTTTTAATTTACTTTTAATTCGAAACTCAAGAAAACTTGAGCTTTTGTTGCCGCGTATACGCTCGAGATTTATAAAAAATGGCAACCGCGTATACGGCTACAGCTCGCGAGTCGTATATTCATCGTATATGTATCTGCCGCATCGAAAGCTGACCGCACACGAGCATGCACAGAGATATGAGCAAACAAAAAACACGTGCTAGAAGAGACGCAAAAATAAGGCGGAATAGGGTGCAAAAAAGAAAACAAGCCTATGGGGGATGCGCAGATGCACACATACACGCGTACACGTGTATATGTACGTACATATACACATAAATGTATACAGCAGCAGCAGACGCTGGGCTTTTCCAGAGGTGAAACAGGCCTATTATCGGAAAGCACTTGTTTTGAAAATACGAGCTTCGAGGCATTTGCAATTCTAAACGGCCACTCTCGCTACTCGGACTATATACACTCGGACCGAACAACAACGTTAGCTGCATATACACGCAGATACACACAAACACACATACACAGAGGCTTGCGCGCATGTTTTCGCATAAATATTGTTTCCATGCGTGGCAGCGCGGCGGACACAAACCCCGCGTTGCTATTCTTTTGCTTTTTTTTCTATTCGTCTGTACACACACACCGCGTGTACACGCAGTACCATATAAGAATCTCCTCTATGTTTGTTCGTTGAATTTTTGACTCGCTGCTCGTGCATAAGCGTGCGCGCGATATATACGCAGAGAAATGTGTATCAGTCGACGAGAGACAATTTTTTCCTTTTTTAACTCATCTCAAAAGAGATGGACGAGATCGGTCACTTGTATAACGTATAGGAAGCACGGCTTCCGAGACGCCCGAGCTACGTGCGCTTATTTGACTTGGAAAGTACTGCCAGTCATACGGCGCATGATTTATCATTGAAATTGAAATCAGCACTGCGGCTTCGACGAAGTAATCACTCGAGTTACGATATATTTAAATCTATTTGGTAAATAACGTTGACACGATATTTTACGAATATTGAAAAATAAAGCCCTTTCCCGCGAGATATCGACTCTCGAATCCGGGACGTTTCAACGAGATAATACACCGCGCGCCCTGTTGAAATGATTATTATTATCGCGCGATACTTATTATTATGTACACTCGAAGGAAAATGAGAAATGCTACGTAAGCAGGTCATCAGACATCACCTTTACTAGGGCAGAAAGCTCGGCGCGCGGCCGGCTTTTTACTTGGTACGCGCATATCTTCTCTCGTCTCTCTCTCTCTCTCTCTCTTTTCTCGTTCTTCTTGGTGCGCGCGCGATGCGCTTCTTTCTCGTGACCTCAATATAAGACTGGTGTATAGTGTGTATACCAAGCCTGAAAATATACCCCTCCCATACATTACGAGACACACACGCATCGCAGCAATAGCAGTCTTCGAAAATTGGCCGAATGCCAGAGGCGTTTTCTTTTATTTTTTTGGTCTCGTAGTATACTCGAGCGCTTGTATACGCGCGCAGAAATTTCTTGATGATAATTCATAGCGAGAGTTTAGTGTTTTTCTCACGAAACGTGTTTGTGTGTGTGCATTTGTGTGCGTGCAGTGCAGCACGGGCGCTCTAACTTGTTATGAGCTGCATGCGCGATAGAATAAGTGATTTTTTTGTGTCGGTAAATTGATTTTGTCTGATCGTCGTGATTAAGTGACGAATTTATCCATTTAAGAAATTACGAGAATGGATGAGTTCGACGAGTGTCACTAGCTTAAAAAGTGCCGAATAAAGAGCTTTTATTTGTCCGAGCTTATGAAGACTAGACAAGTTTCGCCGTTAGATGGCAGCAAATCTTGAACGCAGTCCTTCATATTCAACGAATTTCACGGGATTCCAACTGCACATTATAATGTACAGAAATTAAATTTAATTCCTTTTTTTGTAAATTGGTAGAATTATATTCTTCTCGAAATTCATACGAGTTTTTTTTCAGCATGAATCATTATTCGGTGTCTCATTTTTTCATAATAATAAATCATCTACAGAAAAATGTTTACCATTTACTAGACATGAGATTTACATTGTAATTTCTTCAAAGATATTATCAAGATGCCTTTGTTTTGCTTCGTTTACGGACCTCCGTCTAGCGTAGTGCTAACTGCGTGCAGGCCAAAACACCGCATACTTAACCGGACAACTATCAACACAGAAAGATCATGCATGCCACGCGCGACGTAAACAACAGAACGAGCACAGCTATAATAAGTTATTCGCCTGCACTTATCCTGTACCTACAGTTCGCTCAATCATCTAAGAAAGATTAACTGTTAACCAAATCCCTAGTACGGAAGATGGAATTCAGTTGATTATTTAACTATTATGTTAAAAAGTTCAAACATTCTACAAGAAAAACAATTGATTGAACAATTGAAAAAAAAAATTATTTCATTCTACAAGAAAGTTCAAGTTTTTCTGAAATCCGTGGTAATTTCAATTTTTGACAAACTTCTTAGTCAAGTCCTGAGCGATTTTCAGAAAAAGTGATACAAAGCTTTTTTACTAAAAAATTTCAAAATTTATATAAATATACTCTGAAAAAATCTGAGCACTTTCTTACCTTGCTACTAGAGAAAGAAACATAAAAGTCAAAATCTAATCTAGTCCGATCCGAACCTACATCGCCAAAAAATTTATAGAGCTCCTTCACAATCTTAACTAATGTACTTCGGTTAGATAGCCATTTAAATGTGCTTTCAAGTCTTATAACTACGCAAATACTGATAGTATGAAGATACTTTAAACCATGAACTTAGCCTCTATGGCAAATTTTTAAATGAAAGATATCGTGGTGACAATTGTATTAATTGACATTATTTTAATAATTTTGAGTATAATCGAAATGAAAAAAATTATTATCAATACATTTTTAAGCAAAAAGTTTGAAGCATAATTATAAAAAGTGTATAAATATTAACCCGTAGATATGTATTATAAACTCCACTGGGACGTAGGAATCAACAGCAGCTATGAAGTTCAGGGATGGGAAAATAGACGTTGGCGCGCTAAAGCTCTCAAATTGCTCGCGAAGGTGTAATTCGAGGCGCATTCGCGAAATTCGATGCTGCACCCACTGCTTCGTGTACTTCCGAGACGTTTCGCGACATATTAATATGAGATGACGCCTTTAGGTATACTCAACTTATATATAAGATATACATATAGTCGTACGCACCGTGTGTGTGTATGTATAGAGCACCGAGCGTCGCCGCTGCGGGACTATTAGCGAATATTTCTCCAAGGCAAGCAATACCGCACAGCTCGTATTATGTAAGGAGATTGAACGTCTAGTGTGATAAAAGGCACGAGAAAAAAAGTGCAGTGATTTGCCTCGAGTATCAAGCTAGGGAAATTAAAAAAAGTTCGTTAATCATGGAGTGCGGGATATTTGAATTTATAAATATTTTGTCAAGAAAATTGAAAATGTCTAAAAAAAATTTAGATGCAGGTGAAATCAATATTTAAAATTCATCCCTAGCTTTTGATAACAGTTTAAAAGAAACTCCTGATGACGTTTTGATCTGCTGTATAAGATAATTGAATAGTCAAATGAATTCACCCATGAGGTAATACTTCAATCATATTTGTGTAAGTTGCCTTGCCCGAATAGATCAATTTCTTTCTTAAAAAATTGAATCCCAAACCTTAATACTTAAACTGTTCGACGATTCGACGAATTTAAAATATAATGTCGCACCAAAGAAAGAGAGGACTGATGACCAAGATTGCCTGATGGAATTAAATTTTAACTTTTTAAATAAACAGAAGTGCCATAACTAAAAATTGATCAATACAGTGAGACAACGTATTATAATTTAGAATATTGCGTTGAAAAGACTTTGCTTATTCTCGACAATTTTATTATTTTCATTATTCACGCATATGCTCAATATATAAGAGTACTTCTTAAAATGCTAGATTCTGCTTTTTTGAGTTGAAAATCCAAACTCAAGTGGTAGCACATAAATTTTATTGGTTTGTAGTTTCTTTGGACAAATCTTTCATGTATATTCCTCATGTATAAAATAAGGTAAAAAAGAAAAATACTGCTTTGAGTGCGAATATAGCTAGCTCATTTTTGACTCAGCATAAAATGCAATTTGTTCCTCCGACGAGACTAGCGAGAAACGAAAAAGATATACAAATTTGGCAAAAAATAAAAGAATGTGACGTTTTTAGATATGAGAACCGACACTTCTTGCGTCGAAGTTGGTCTCTTTCTTTTTTCCCTGCTCACTGTTTTGCAAGCGCAATCGAGTATCGCGCATTTCGAAGAAAGAAACTACACAGACGTGAATTTGGTATTTTCAGAAAAATAATAAACTGATGCAGTTTAATAAAACTTATGAAACATATTCGTTTAAATTATTATTCTATTTGTTTTTATTACATGTTGTGCTGTGAGCCACCTCGCGTTTAGAATTCTGTACTACGCACGTTTATGTTTACGATTACATGTTATGAGGTTGATCGACGTCTTGAGAGATTACTAATAACACATTATATTATAACTAATAACACACAATATTAGATTTGAAGTTTATTAAAGCAGAAAATTGAATCAATGAATAAAATTATTTATCAAGCATCTTGTCGCTGAAACGAAGTAGATATAATCTAAACCAACAGTAAAGTATCAGTAAATAAGGAAAGCAAAGGTATGGAAAAGTTGCGCATACAATTTTACAATAGATTAGTACGAAAATGTACGGATGTCCATGATTTGAGAAATTTATTAGAAGATTGTAAAGTGTCTGGATTATTCAGAGATGTAGATGATTTGAACTGGATATTAGTTACAGCCATCAAAAGAAGAGACTTACAAATTGTAAAATTATTAGTAAAATACGGAGTAAAAATCAATGTTCTCGAAAAACCCGGAAAAACTGCAATACATATTGCGGCAGATACAGGATTTGACAGGGCTGTCAAGTACTTGTTCAAAAACTACCAAGTTGAGGACGGTAATCGTACCAATAAACAGGGGTTCACGCTTTTTCACATAGCCTGCTCCATAGGCAATGTTGAAATGGTACAAAAATTCTTAGATTACGGTGTTGATATCGACCTTGAATCAGATGTACAATACCAAGAAACACCTATTAGCTGTGCTGTTTGGGATGCCCACATAGATGTTGTTAAACTTCTTTTGGACAGAGGTGCATACACGGGGTGCAGTACAAATCATTACAAAAACGGTTCAATTTTGCATTATATTTGTCAATTCATTAAGTATTATGTCGACCCTGAAAACCATTACCACACAATTTTGCTGGAAATTACTAAACTATTAATACAGCACGGTTGCGACATCAATGCTAAGGATAAACATGGCAATAATCCAATTTTGTCTTTATTTATTTGTTATCCAAACCACAATTATGTTTTGGGTAGAAAAGGTCCACTGCATGATTTGCAAGTTCGTCAAAAAGAGATGTTGGAAATTTTTCTTCAAAATGGAGCAAACGTCTTAGAAAATAACAAGAATCGAGAAACAGTATTTGATCACGCTATTAATTCTAGCCTACCCAATGATGAAGATTTTGTGATTGGTTTGACCGATGAAATTGGAGCCGAAATAGTTGAAATGCTTTTAAATCACAGTGGAGTCGATGTAAACTTTATGAATAAAAACGGTCATTCGTTGCTCCAGATCGCGGTCTTCCGCTTAAATTACGATGTGGTGAAAATGTTATTAAAACGTGGAGCCGACGTAGGTACTGTTAAATTTCTTACACAGGCAAAAAATTGTATCACTCGTATAGAACATGTGATAAATCTTTTTGGAATAGCCGAACTTTTGGTAGCTAACGGATACGTTATGGATCAAACCACGGAACTAAATGTAATAGATTTTTTCATTAGCCTTCCCACGGTTTCTAATATTGGAGATTGTTTTAATAATATCAAAAAAGGTAATGTATTAAATATTATTATATTATATTTAATAAAATATTTTAGACTATTGTCAAACTTGAAAATAATTATCATGAACACTAATTTCTTTCATTACAGACTGTACTATAAAAATTCGGAATTATTTTATCGCAATGCGCTCTACCAGTCTTTACACTATTGATTCTAATCCTTGCAAGCATTGGAGAACAAAAGTAATACAGTTCATTTTAGAGCAATTTAAAATTTTTGAAATAGGTAATTTGAATATGAATGTTAATTTAAGAAATTATCTTCAGTCGCACTTGCAAGAGTTGCAAAAAGTTACAGTATTGGTTGAATTGGATGATGAGATAGATACCATAATAAGAAAAGAATACGAGAATGCTAAAAAGACTATTGTAGATAATCAAACATCATTTCTGGATATTTATTTTATGAGCGATAAAAAAATATATTCACTGGTTAAAAATTCGATTAGTCATCGTGATTTTGTAACGTGGCAAGATTCATTTCCATATTTTTCAGGAATTGTATTCGAAAAAATTGTTCAAAGCATTGTAAGAAACTTTATCGATACTGTAGCATCGAAATATCTACCATCGGGGTGGCAGTTGCCCATTTTATGCTGTGATAACATTGTAAAGAATTTAAAAAACAGTGATGTATTGTGTGCTCTTAAGGCTGTCACAAGTGATCTTTCATAAAGATTTAAAAAGTATTTGTAAAGTAATATCAATAATCCTTGTATTATAAATACATTCGTTTATTTTATAATTAGTCAAATGTGTAACAAAGTTACTATACTTGTATTGCAGTATATCAATGGTAATGTTTTATAAAAAAATACAACTGAGATATCAGATTCTGTAAAATATTTTTGTTAAAAAATACCTTAGTTTTCTCCATTTTGTTGATATTGGGACGTTCGTTCTTTGGAATCGCGTTAACAAAAAATTGTTTGTTTCAAAATTTCGGTAAAAAGTAATGTAGAAAAATAAAGTCTTAGTACATCCTGAAGTACAGTCATCATGCTTGGAATTTTGAAACATTTATTTGAAAACATATTTCAAAGTTGTAAAAATAAAGATTTGAGGCAAAATCTTTATACTTGAGTTCTCGTTTCTCGGCAATACAATGATTACAATATTCTTCGGTTGAATATACCTCAACGGAACAGCATATATTTTTTTACTTTACATGCTACTTTGTAGGGTATTTCTATCAAAGAGTTAATTTCATACATTTAAAATTTAGAATATTGTGAAGTTAACATCGAGAAGAATTTTTTGGTAATGAAAGTCAGGGTCAATTTTGGTTAGATTTTGCGTTTTGGGTCTCTTTCTATCGAAACAAGCTTCTGGAATGCTCAGATTACTGAGGAATACTTCTTTTCTGAAAATTTGAAATTTTTACAGAAAAAAAGCTTTGGTTCAATTTTTTTTTTCAATCACTCAGAGCTGAACTAGACATTTCTACATTTTAAATACCAATAATAATTATGAATTTTGGTAAAACGCTAACATTAGACTCTGAAAACGACTGAAAATGATTATAAATTTTCTAATTTTAGGCACACTTGTGATATCAAAACCAACAAGTTTTTCATGCTAGCAATAAAACAACATAATATTTGAATTTTCAACGAAGCAGTGATCATCACTTGTCTTTTGCGATTATCGAAAGTGTACAAATCAACCTTCGCTTTACCTTGTATTTTGAAATCGAGACTGTTAAAACTCGGGTGTGAACATGTATATTTTCAAGCACTGCAGCTTGGATACAAATTCACATGACTGATGTAAAAGTCAAGAAATAGCCCAACAATCTGAATTGCTTTTTGAAATCTGAAATGACTGTTCACCCGACTGTTATTTCATTCTTGATATAAATTCATTTTTTCAAATGTATACATTTTTTAAATTTTCTCCTGCTCAATCGTCGTTGTACTTTCTAAGGTGGTTTTTCGCATTAACAAGATCAATTTTTTTATATAATAATAAAAACCACGTTATTTGTCTATTTAAAAGTTTCTTATGGAGCAAAAATCACAACACAAAATTTAACTTCACTTTAAGAATTTTATAAACAAATTTAAGCAATTTTAACTTTTGTTTGTTCGTATTCTTCCATAATCACCGAATTATTTATATACATAGTAATAAAATGAATCAGGATCACAAAATAAAATTTGAATCATACAATAGCAAAGTCTCATCTCCTGCTTTCGCGACAATCCCAATTCTCACTTTGTATTAATCAGCACACCCCTTCTCGCCTCTCTTTGTGTATAGTTGCAGAGCGCTATATACATTGCCAAAGTCTCCGTTTTTGCCTCATATTAGCACAATCACGTAATGGCACGTTACCTGCGGCAAATCCGCACGAGACTATAATACTACGTGCCTCAGTCGCATTATGACGGGAAACCTACGCGTGTGCAATTCCATTTGAGTTTGATTTCAGCTGCCGGTCAGCTTTTTTTATGTACGCACATTTTAGTGAAACGAAAGTGAGCTGTGAGAAACCAATACATGTACCAATTTGAAAGTGTCGATCAAAATAAGAGCGTAATATATTCATTTAATCAAAAAAAATTTAGTAACGAGTTCAAGATTTTCAAGTATTACATATATAAGAAAAAATTGTTAATTAAAAAATCTATTCAAAGATCACGTAAACCAAATTACAAAAACGTAAACGTGTAACCAAGAATTTCGAAAAAACGCTTACTTCGAACCTCTGAAAAAAGGTAAGATACCATCACAAAAATTCTATTAAAATTTGGATACAATGGCATCAAGCTTCGAGCTTTCGAGTTTTTTTTTGGGATTCCGATACCGTGAATATTCAAGTTTTTACTTGAAATTCCGAATTCAAGAATTTTTAAGATTCATTTTGGATTTCTCGTTTGATTTTGCAAGATCTTGATTACAAATGAATTTCAATACATTTTTATTTTCGCGAATGTAACGTCTGGAGTGATAAGAATATTTTTCAATCTTTTCGACTAGAACGGATCAACCATAATTTAGTTTCGTTGACACCCGAATTCGGTACAACCGTTGATGACTAAACTCGTACTTGTTTCAATAAACCAAAGGAACTAACAAGTAAATTTCATTGTACATACTGCTCTACACAAGATTTGAAACTTAAATCATTTTTTGTATAACAAAAAATTTGTAATTTAACATCGCACAAAGGGTACCTGTAATCACAGGTTCAATTCAAGAAATTCATTTTTTCACACTACTTCGCGTGCAACAACAAAACAGTGCTAAAAACACTTTGGAAAATAATAAAGTACAAGTCAACAACGAACAAAATAAATATATTGTTTCTTCGCGCTGTGTCCGTTTATAATCAGACATGGCATTTGACGCGCGTCTTCTTTCATCGTATTGTTTATACATACGCTCGCGCGGCGCAACAAAACATACCCTAGAAGCTCGTATTTTTTATTTCATTTCGTTGAATGTGTAGAGCCACGAAGACTTCATTATCTTGCAGGTTAAAAGAATGAAGAGAGAAGAGAGAAATCTCAAAGCCTGTCCTGGCATTGTTTCACTCTGACTGCTGGCCGAGGCGCATTGTTCGTATTTAGTCGAAAATGCTTTCTATCTCTTGTCTTTTGATCAGAAATACGCGCTTTTCTCCGCGTGCGCGTGCTTGGCAAATTGTCTCAAGTGCGGCCCGAGTTTTTAGGGAAAAATACTCGAGTCTCTCGCGAAAGTGGACTTAGCGAGAGGATATGAATGCTAAAAGCTCCTATATACAGTCGACTTGTACGTAATGTTAAATTTCCTACTGAAAACTCTTTGATTCCAGTCTAGTAAATCTTTTTAACGACGAGCGAAATTTATACGCATATATATAGTTTGTATATCTCCTTTTGTACTTTTACATGCGCATGTTCACTCACATGCTCTCGTTTCGTGTGTATGTGTGTGTGTGTGTGTGTGTGTGTGTGTGTGCAAACTTAATCCGTACATTGTATGTGATATTTTTTTTTCGACGTTTAATTCTCCAAAAATTACGCGAAAAACGTAACGTTGCGCGCACTCGTGAGCCTGACAATAATTCTCTGATTCAAGCTCCGCACGCTATATACTCTGACAGAGAAGCAGAGCGTATTTTTAAACCGAGTGCGTCATTTTATACGAATGTATTATGAAAAGGTCAGACAATTTTTGGCATATACGCGCGACGAGTGTCGCTAAACATGCAAAAAGGGATAAAATATCTCTCGGTTTTTTGATCGACGAATGGGCGGAGCGCGCCTGGTGGCAAACGTTGCGTATAATCTGGCTTTGAGTAATGCGCGATAGGAGTGAATGTTTGATGCCCAGTCGAGCCGCGCGCTTGGCTACATTCGTAATAATAATAATGATGATATATATATATATTTAAATAATAAAATATCCTGCAGTGCCGTGGTGGCCTCTCGCTTTCTCGGTCGAATGGAAAATTCACATAATGGACCATCAAGCTTTAATGTTGTCCTGTGCAATTCCCGCGATGAATACGCACAAGCACGTAGGGTGAAATATATAAAACTAGGCTAATCGAACTGTACACAGGATGCACTTATTATATACGTAGGCTGTAAACCTTTTATTCAAACGCCGTTATTAATACATCTATAATAACGCATTTACATGGACTGTAACGATCCACATCGACAAAGGCGCGCATTTATGATTTATTTATTCTCTCGATCGTTTCGTTAAAATGAGCGAAATTTCGTTCTGCGTAGTTTGAACATCATACAGCGCGAGAGGTTTTGACGCCATCATATCTCCTTCGAGCTCTTCGGGGGTGCCTTCGGGGCATGTACATCACGAGGGGGAGGGAAAAAAGAAGTAACGTTACTAGACGAGCTAGGAGAGAGAGAGAGAGAGATAATACGTAAGAGCAACGCCGCTGGTGTATCAACGCGCGCTTCTGATATAGATATGTAATTCTGATATAGACGTGGAGCTTGGTACTGCATGTATACGTGAATAGCGTTATATGTATACACACGGACGAACGGACAGATAGACGGCTCTCCATGCGCTGCTGCTGCTGCTGCTGCTGTGCGAAACAAGCGAACCGCGAGTAAGCAAGTAGTATAACGTATATATGTGTATAGCGGGCGCGCACGAGTATAAGCGCAGCACTGCCAGTGGTAAAATCAACTGCAACGTCAGCCCATGACTCGCTTGATTTCCTCGCTTGATTGATGGCTTATGACTTTTGCCTTGTGTGTACGAGTGTGTATTTGTGCCGTGTAGGTGGGTGTATACATGTATGTATATGCATTCGCTTGAGTGCGCAAGCTGCCTCGAGACTTTGAGGATTTATGCGCGCACACACATAAACTCTATAGCCGCAGCTCCGAATATTCAACATTGATTCTTTTTTATTTGTATCGCGAGCGATAAGGACATTTTCATAAGAGATGTAATTACTCGACGCGCAGAGGGAGATAGAGAGAATGTAATAAATTGCTCGAAAGCCATTTACACCAACTGTACGTATAGCAACGGCAACAACAACAACAACAACGGCGACACCGATGCAAGGCATTACACATCGTCTTTGTGTATATTTCGCGCAGTTTAATTAATCGTAGCAGGCGTACATATAGCAAAGCTCGGCAGACGAACTACGCGAAGCTATAATACATATTATACCAGAGAAATTGTGGTTTCTCTGCCTCTGCCTCTCTCTCTCTCTCTTTCTCTCTCTCTTAGCACCACCCCATTCCACCTCAAGTTCGAGAGCATATATAGAATGCCGCCACCGCGCTGCAGTCTCACGAGTGTTTCTGCATGCATACAATAATATACGCGAGATCGTCTTCGCTAGAA